TTCATACAGGCGGATGCGGCGCAGGAGAGTGCGTACCCCTGACCGTGTCTCTGGGTCCAAGGGATGTCTACAACAAGACGCTCGAGGCTAATTCGAACCCTACAGAATCCCTCCCGCGAATATTCGACCGTGAAGGCGGCGCCGAATTCGACTATGTCTTCAACTGCGGCGGCGAGACCCGCTTCGCCCAAGACGAGAAGGTCTACGAGCTCCGCTCCTACGGCCTGTCCATGGCCATTGGCCGCGAAGCCGCGAAACGCAAGGTCAAATGCTTCCTCGAAGTCAGCACCGGCATGGTCTACAAGCCCGACAGCGCACCCAGCAAAGAGTCCGACAAGCCGAAACCCTGGTCGAATCTCGCGAAATGGAAACTCAAGGCTGAGGAGGACCTGGCCAAGATCGAAGGATTGAACCTGATAGTGATGAGGATGGCACACGTCTACGGGCCGTACACGAGCAAATACCTGAGCACGGCGCTTTGCATGGCGAGGGTATACCAGAGCAAAGGAAAGGAGATGCGCTTCCTATGGAAAGAAGACCTGAAGACGAACCTGGTGCACATTGAAGACTCTACAAGGGCGCTGTGGCATGGTGTCGAGTGGTACATGAAGGGGCCCCCAGGACGCAGACCGGCACCCACCTTCAACATTGTGGATCATGCGAATCACTGTAAAGCCTCTCCACACCACGTCATTCTATCTCCTGAAATACTAACATGACGTTTAGCCCAAAAAGACACTGCCGCCCTCATGGGTAAGATCTTCAACATCGAAACCGGCTTCCACGGCACACTCATCTCAGCCTTTGCACGACTGAACCTTGACCATGTCGTCGACGAAGTCAACGACGAGACGCTAGACCCCTGGGCGGAACTGCAACAAAAAGCCGGCATCAGCCAATCGACACCGCTGACACCGTACATGGAGAAGGAGCTGCTAAAAGATGCGGATCTGAGCATGGACGGGAGTCTGTTCGAGAAGGAGACTGGCTTCAAGTAAGTCACACCACTGTTCACATAAAATATCAAGCCGGCGATATACTAACAAACCACCAGGTACAACGTAGAGAAGATCACCAAAGAAAAGGTCGAAGAGGTCATTGAGAGCTACAAGAGGATGAACTGGTGGCCATAGCCTTGGCCGCTCGACTCGCCAACTTCCTTTCCATCGATACCCTCCTTCTTGTCACGACCTTCCTCACGACGAACCCCCTTTCCCGTATACCCAACCACTAAAACCCACCACCTTTACATCTTCCAAAACGACGACCGATTGTTCAGTTCAGCATAGCATAGCAGCGAAAGCATGCATTACCTGGAGCTCTGGGCTCCCTTCGACCCCATTCGACAATTTCACCCCTTATGGTCTCCTTATGTCTTGCGGGCATTTGTATCTGGCAGTCGCTTTTCTCTTGTGTGTGTGTGTCAACCTTCTTCCTGTATCTTTGGGGCATGTATCTGGTTTGCGCACGGTACTGTATGGTGTTGATCTTTGCTGCTGCTGTCGGAGCATGCGAGTCTTGGTGTTACATACCCCTCAATCTAGCATTTGTTCTTATACACCGCGGCTTGTCGTAAGATGACTAGTTGTGCTCATTGACTGTTGGCTTGTGCTATGGTTTCTGTGAGGTGCAAAATGCTGAGGAGCATGTGCGTTTCCTAGGCTAGAACCATGATTGTAAAACATCGCCGGAATCCTACCCGCTTACTATGTGCTATCGATTCCACCGACCCATCTCCATTATCGAAAACTCATTGCATCCCTCATCCTAAATGTCGATAGCTTGATTATTTCGCCAGCTACCCGTGCTACGAATGATCTTCGGTGATGACCTCAAGCTTGATACCCTTCTGGATCCCGAGGTACTCCACCCAAGTGGTGCTCCCTCCCACCACAGCATCACGCTCTAACATGAACGTCAAAGTAACCCCCTGCAACACAATCTTCTTCAAGTTTGGAAAAGTCCTCATACACGGCGTCCAGGGAAATTCCCACTGTCTTCCATTCCAGAAGTAAATCCATGACTTGTAGAGAACAATGCTCTGGATATTTTCCAACTGTTCGCGCGAGAGCGCGCACTTCTCGGCCCAGTAGCGGTCGAGGAAGGTTTCGTAAGGAAACTTAAAATTGTTTCCGGAGTAGAATACCAGACGCGATTCAATGTAGATTTGTCGACAAGTCCTCAGTAAAGCGAGGGCGTGGGGGGCTAGTCCGCGGTCGAACTTGACGCGTCCCTTGTACACGGTGACCTCCTTGTTGCTAATGAGGGTAAACTGATAAACATTTTCGCGAATCTCGGCAGGCAGAGCGAGAAGACGTGTACGCGCGTTGGATAGTGTACTGTGTTTGGTCAGTTAATGGTTGCTACATTGATCGCTCTATTCCCTACCGAGGGCGCAGATACGCGGGAGTATTCCCTGGATTCGGCAGGGCATCATCGGGACGAACGCTCAACTTCGGATCCATGATCGCGGTAGTTGAAAGTTAGAGAAGGTGGAAAGGGTTTGTTGTGATAAGCACGCGACTGGACAGACCACGAGTAGCGCAGACGGTCAAGAGCCATACGCATCTGGAAATGGAAAGTCTAATTCACTGTGCTATTAGATTACCATAAGAGTAAGAACTTCTCGTAGCGATTCTTTCTTCGTGCATTCTCGAAATTGGTAGAGACAACGTGAGTATAAGTATTATCCTAGTTGACAGACTATACGAGCTTAGTGGTTATCATTATATAGCACTTTGAATGAATAGTTCGATTACAAATGCGCACTAGATAATCTGTTAAAACGAGACCGATAACATCTTTAACTCTAGTGCGAGCTCTCCCACTATACCAAAGCTTTCTGGATTTGAATGCTTTCACAAACCTCCAACCGATGTTGACAAGTCCAACATCTTGCTGGTACGGTTAGAAGCATCTTGATAGACGCGTTCTGCCGAACCTGAATCAGGAGCTATTGGTCATCGATCTCGACAGGGTCAACGACCTCGACGACATCAAGAACACCACGCTCCCGCATCGTCACATAATCCTTCCAATCATTGAAGCCAGCATGTTGCGCCAACAACTTGACGAAATGGACGTCGGAACCAGTTTCAGTGACGTCAACCTCAATCCAAATTCGCCGCAAGTTCGGGAATAGGAGCGTGAACGGCATAGCTAACGGTGGTGGGGAATGAGAACGGTAGGATTTCCAGTCGAACGGGCAACTACATCCTCGTGCGTACCGCGAGCAGCCTCCAAACCCCGTTCCGTTGACCGAATCAAAAAGGAAGGGATTGTTAACTTGGATAGTTTGTATGGCTTCTAGCTGGGCTTGGCTGCGGTTTCCTGCAAAGGCATCGCGGTGGGAACGGCAGCTCACGACGAACGTGTTGAGTGCGTAAGGCAAGACAGCGGTCTCTGTATAGATCTGGCGGCATACGTATGGCAGCACAAACGCGAGCTTTCGGAGTTCTCCAGGCTTGTAGTCATCACCACCATCTTGCCAAATATCGAGTCCGGGGACGTCCATTGATATCTGGAAGCCGCCTAGAACTTCCTTAAAGATCATGTTACGTATCTCCGCAGGCAACAAGAGGAGATTCGTCGACGCGTTGTGTTGGGTCCTATTACATTAGCGTCTGACGTGACCTTGGAGATAGTACTTACTTGGAGAGCAAATGCTCTGGGGTGGGATCCATCTGCACCAGTCCATTCTTCTGGTAAGTAACTGCTGGCGAAGGGCCTCGATAATAAGTGGCAGAGTGTCGAGGATTCACCATAATTTGAGCCAGCTTGCGCTGACGATCCAACGCTTTCCAAGCGCCGAGACAATTTGGCATGGCTACTAGATCTGACGGTTAGACGTATGATTGGAAGGACAGTGGCCGGTTTGTCGGGTCGTATAGAGCCGGTGATGGAGACTGGGCAACGGTTACAGTGGTAGTGTAGAACTGTGGTTCCTTCGAGATCGCTTATCTTATAATTGGGCAGATTATCAGAGTAGAGACCCGTTCTTTGAACGGCCAGTCACTTTGAGTACTTGCAGGGGAATTGCTCGATATCTGGCTGCCTGGGGACAGCCTTGTTCGGTCACTCACGCCACTTTCATTGTCGGATACGCGCTACTCTGTCACATATATCACTGCCATATAGTGAAATAGTTATAGTAATACAGCCGGAAACAGTTAAGTGGAAGCACTGACCCTGTCTGATGGGTGGCAGTGATGGAGAAGGGTTGAAGTGGCAGGAAGCGCAGCAGAATGGATAGTCGGCTGGGGTGTCGGTGGCCGCCCAATCATCACTCGTGTGATGTTGGAAGCGGCCCCGGGGGGCTGCACCCGAACCTTCCTGCCTGCGACATCACTACAACGACATCCAAGCAAGCAGGTTATCTGAATTTTTTAGCAGGATACAAGTAAGACTTGCTGTAGTTTCACCAGATATGCGACTCATATCGCTCTGCAAGTCAAAAACGCAAGCACATACAGATGAGCTGCGGATGGGAGGCAAACGCGGCATGTAGCTCGCTCAGCCTCTCAAGATGCAGCCTGACCTTTACGTGCTCAGAAAGAATCAGTACTGCCTAATCTGAGGATAGGAACGGACGAATACGCTGCTGCGCCGTGTTGGTTTGATGGCTTCATATATCCATGACCAACATGGAAGAAAGGCAGGCGGCATTCTGTCTTCCCTCCTTGCTCCCTCTCCACCACAATGTCCCCTCTCCGCCGCACGAAGCGACCACCAGGCAAGATGGCTGCAAAACCTATCTGTCACCTACTACGCATGCCGTTGGCAATACTTCTCATCGTACTAGAAGACGTGCGTATCCGAACAAATGCTTCACATTGTTTCCCTCTTCTGATCGCACTTGTCAGGTTTACGAGACTGATCGGGAAGCATTCTCGAACTTTCGTCTCGTCTCTAAAGCATGTCGCAATGAGTCTCAATACTTGTTCTTCCGCAACTTTACTATCCATGATCGCACCCTCCTTGGGCCGAGTCTGTCATCGCCGATGCTAGAGAGGCTCAGGGACAGAAATGGAAAAACTGGAGAATATGTCAGGCATCTAAGGATAGGCCCGTTCAAGGATGAAGACAAGTTCAAGCTCGAGATTTTGCCCTTGCTGGAGACTATCCTGAGGAGCGTCAGTAACTTGCAAGACCTTACCTGGCGTGTGAACTGCGAACTTCCGCCAGCCCTGCTCAACTTCTTCTCCGAATTGCATTCCTCGGCGCATTTGCATTGGATTCTGAAGAATCGCAGATTCCATCCTCTGGATCAAAGTCTGCTTTCGTCTCCCCAACTTTACACTCTCGATGCGGAAATTTACGCGACCGTACCTGAGCAGACCGGACACTCCCTGAGTGAACTTGCATATATCAAAAACACTATACCAGCCAGTCTCCAAGTTCTGCGTCTCTCTACTATCGACGTTGATGGCTCTGTCCGGCGTGCGCAATTAGGAAAACTTGCATACGTCGAATACGGCATGTTTCATTTCGACTTCCAGCCCGGCGATCAGTTTCCTGCCCTCTTGGAGTTGGCCTTGAGGCAGGGCGATTTTGCGTTGACAGAGCAAAACTGCAACCTGTGGACGCGCACAACGTCCTGGGAACGCCTGGAACGCTTAGATCTCCCCAACGGCACGTCGCCTCAGTTCATCGCCTCCCTCACCAACCGCGCCATCAATCTCAAATACCTCAGATTTCACATCAGTACGACGAACTTCATGATCAGGAGACAATATCGCCCATACAGCGGTGGAAATTGGCTTAACGCCGGCGTTGACACTATGTCTATCATGACTAGATTTCTAGCTTCGATCAAATCTCTCCATACCCTTGACTTCGCGTACAAAGATAACGAGGCCCTAATAAGATATTTACGCGTCATGTTGCAGAGTCTCCATGGAAGTTTGAGGAGCTTGACCATATCTGACATGGCTGGTTACGATTACTTTCCCATGGACCCCTTACCATCCGGAAAGCCGTATTGGGATCCGGAGCAATACCAAGAGGTGCTTGAGCTAGTACCCGGCTTGGAGCATTTTGATGCGCGGATTGGTACGAGAGACAGTGTTGTGGGAGATTGGGAAGGCAAGGATCGCTATGCAGATGTTAAGAAGAAGTGGAGGACCGCGAAAAAGACCATTACCGCTTCCCCAAGGGTGAAAACACAACGGGCCAAGAGAGCGCAAAGGTTGATCTTGTAGATGGCGGCGTCGACGCTTACATGCGTCTTTACGCGGATGCGAAAGTGGGCTCTGCGCAGTACTTTGTGTATCGTCACTGGGCTGATGGTGGTGCTGAGTTCTTTTGCGAACGTCGAGGCGCATCCCAACTTCTCGGATCTGTATCGGAAGCATTGGCCGCTTTGGACCAAGCCATTCGTTGTCATCGACAGAACCTGCAGTGATGGCAGCACGGGTTGAGGAAACGGAGAGGGATGTTGTTGGGTTGGGTGTCGTTACGAAATGGGAAGGTGGTGGGTTCGTAAACTTCGCGGGGTAATAAACCTGGTTCCCTTTGTCAATTCGTCTTGTCCAATACCCAATGAAACTCGTATAGCGTCTCTCGCTTCTGAATGCCTGGTGCCTGTTAAAGTATTCGGTACTATGGCGATGCTAAACGTGAGAAGGGGGTTTCCAGATGATCAATGGCCCCGCCTTGTCTGAGACCGAACTGGAAGATGCGACTGAAAAGACACTTGTATTCAGGAGACAGAACGAAATCGATTTCGGCCTTTTCCCGAGCCTGAGGTACTCTATATTGAACGAGCCTGACTATTGCACAGATTTATATAACATTGATTGACTTGACTGGTGGATGCTACAGGACGCTTATGCCTTCTGGACGATCCCTGTTGCTTGTTAGTTCATGCCACACGTTTGAAATGCAATGCCACATACTCTCAATGTCAGTGACGCTCTGGTCAAGGATCTGCTTGAGGGTCTTGGGGTTCTCGAGCTCCTTCTCAATCTTGGCGATGATGGACTCGGCGAGCTCCTTCTGCTGCCTCTGCTTGACCTGGCCCTCGTAGCGGACCCACGAGTCGAGGACGGACTTGGCCTCGGCGGCGATGGCGGTCTTCTGCTCGAGCTCGAAAGCCTGGGCCTCGAGCTGGGCGGTCTCCTGTGGGGGTGTCAGTGTGTGGTCCTTGCATGTCCTCTGCCGTCGCGTCGCACCTTGGAAACCTCGAAGAGGGTCTTGGTGATGTCAATGACACCGCCGAGGTCCTGGACGCTCTCGATGCGCTGCTTGACAGCGGTGGTGTGGTCCTGGCGGGCAGCGTTCAAGATGCCGGAGATCTTGTCGGCCTGCTGTTGCGCATACTCTCCCCAGGCAGGTCCAGCGTACTTGGCAACGGCCCAGAAGATGGTCAGGAGCGAGAGGGCGACAATGGACTCCTCGTTGACGACGTAGAGCTCGTTGCTGATAGCGGCGACACTGAGACCGGCGCCGGCGGAGAGGACAGCGGCCTTGGTGAGGGGGCTGTTGCCGGGGACGGGTATCGAGTCGAGGACGGTCTGGGCCTTCTTCTTGGGGTCCTCCTGGGGCAGGTTGGAGTTGTAGCGGGCCTGGACGGCGATGGAGGGCAGGGCGCGGAGAGGGAGCGATGGGCGGAGACGGGCGGCGCCTATTGGGGTGAGCACGGGGTCAATGGCATCGCAGAATCATCGGGCAGGTGCTACTCACCGACCGCGCTCCTTGCAAGACGTGAGGCCATGGCTGTCTGATGGGCGTGGGGAGTTTGGGGTGCTGGTCGTCGTCGAGAGCTAGCTTTTCGTGATGCTGCGTGAACTCTGAGCCAAGCGCCGATGCCCATGCGCTAGCCGAACTTCGCCCGGCCCGCCCTCACTTTTCGACATCGCCAACTTTTTTGCGCCCGCGAGCAATTCAACTCCACGCCAAGAAATCAGTCACAGGAAAACATGCCGGGTGCAAAGTCGGCCAGCAAGTCTGGTGTCAAGAGGAAGAGGGACCCAAGCAAGCCAGATCGCGGCGAATCCAAATCGAAGAGCCGGCGCAAGTCCCCCAGCGACGACGGCGAGGACATCCAGTCGGAAATTCTACAGCTCGAAGCACAAATCCTCGAATCGCGGAAACACTACAACAATATTGCAACTCTTTTGCAGCGAGCGAGACAGCCAGACACCGAGAATGAGGGTCCAATCCTCGCCGCCGTGGCCCTCTGCCGAGTCTTCTCACGACTACTCGTGACAGGCGACATGGTGAAGAGCAAGGGCATGAGCGAGGCAGAGGGTGTCATTGTGTCGTGGCTGAAAGAGCGCTACCGAGAACTTTCCGACGTTCTCATCGACGACTTCCTTGGCAGCGAACATCCACCGAAGCAGTCTGTGGCCCTGACACTGGTTCTGCGACTGGTCAAGGAGGAGGCAAAGTCACAGAAGGACTACAAGATCAAGAATGGGCCGCTGCCGAGACTTATTCGGGTGCTGCTATGCCTCCCGCTAGACGATCTGAACCGCGAGGAATTTGCAGAGAAGTACCTCAAGCAGTTCGACGATATCCGATACCAGACTTTCCAGACCATCAAGTAAGTATATAGATATGCTAACCCTCATGACACCCACTAACACGCCCAGGGATGTACTGGACAGCGAACTCGACATTACGACGCGCCAACTCGTAGCTGCGAACAGCCTGACCCTCCTATTCACACTTACCGAAGTCCCCAAATCTAAGACCGACATACAAAATTTTTACGTACAAGTACAAGGGAAGAGCCCGATACCGTCACTCCAAGCATACAAGGAAAAGGCACAGGCAGCATGGTTAGCGACGATGCGCACGGGTCTCTCCAAGGAGCAGCGCAAGTCTATCCTGCACAACTTTTCTCACCAGATTGCGCCGTGGTTCCAGCAGCCTGAAATCTTGTCCGACTTCTTGACAGACTCTTACAACGTGGGCGGCGCAACGTCATTGCTGGCACTGTCCGGAATCTACTACCTAATCTCAGAGAAGAACCTCGACTACCCGTCATTCTACCTCAAGCTTTACTCCCTCCTCGACGAAGGCCTCCTCCACTCCAAACACCGATCGCGTTTCTTCCGCCTGCTAGACACCTTCATGTCCTCCTCCCATTTGCCCGCCAACCTCGTCGCCAGTTTCATCAAGCGTCTCTCGCGATTAGCTCTTCACGGCCCGCCCGCCGGTGTCGTCGTCGTAATACCCTGGGTCTACAACATGTTCAAGAGACATCCAGCTTGCACTTTCATGATGCACCGCGAGATCAGAGACCCCGCTCTGCAAAAGGAGCTGGAAGAGGAAGGCATGGACGACCCGTTCGACATGGAGGAGCTGGACCCTCTCCTCACAAACGCCATCGACAGCAGTGTCTGGGAGTTGGAGGCACTACAGTCGCATTACCACCCCAACGTTGCGACGCTGGCAAAGATCATCTCGGAGCAATTCACGAAGCGAGCGTACAACCTGGAAGACTTCTTGGACCACTCCTACACGGCGCTGCTCGATGTTGAACTCGATCGTGACCTGAAGAAGGAGCCAGAAGTAGAGTTTGAGATACCCAAGCGCATCTTCACTGCGGATGAGGGGTTGAATGTATTTGGACAGTTGTTGACGCAGGTTGTAGAGGCAAGGTAGTCGATATATGTATAGCTAGAATGATACCCGGAATATTCACATCACTTAAGCAACTTCCTGACCAACTTCCACACATTCGTTCGGATAGCACACGAGCTCTCACACATGCAAACGTTCATTCGTCGGAACAAGGCGCCGTAAAACTCCCTCACCCGTCATCCAAGCATGAACATGTGGGGACACCTCTAGCTCCCTACCATTCCAGCCAAATCATCCATCCAGATAGGGCCAAAACATATGCACCAACACTACCCAGACGACAATTCCAAACTCCGTTTCCTAGCTCTACTCAAGGATGATAAAATTGGTTGAGACGCACACTGCACATGACCGGTGCTAGTCTAATAACCTGCCAAGTGCCATTTTCATCGTTTTCTAGCTGCAAAGCTTGCCCACGTAGCGTTTTGGCTAGTGGTGTGGAGCTAATGCGCTGGGGGCAGCTCGTTGGCTCGGGGTCGCCCGCGCGCCCGCTGTCTTTCTCGTATTGCGCTGAGGGGAGAGCTCGCGATAAGAGACGTACGTCGCTGTCGGAGGTAGCATGAGCAGAAAGAGTAGGTGTGGTCGTGTGTGGTCGCGCAAAGAGGGGAGGCAGGTCGCGTCTTGCGGGTTGACCGAGGCAGGGGCAGCTGGAAGGTCGGCGATTATCTTGCATGCGTTGGCGCGGTCGGTTCCAGGTACCACTTTCCTTTGCGCTGAGCTGCATATGTCGAGAGCTTTCACATGTGTCAAACAAGGTAGCTAGGAAAACTCTTCTGAACTACACGTCATGAAGATGGAGCATTGTTCAAGCGCATTCACAGTTGTGGGAAGTAAAGTTTGGTTCAGATCACCTCTCGGTGACTGATATCTCAGTTGAATTAACTATCTATACATGTCAAGCCATGTGTATGCATCCCCATTGGAACATTGTCGCATTAGTAGGATACATGAGAAGAAGAATCATTCGTAACCCGCTAACCCCGACCTGAATGTTCCCCGAATTAAAAATCCCCGCCATTAATGCTTGGAAATGTGTTGTTACTCCGTGTTGCTTTTAAACAAACATGCAACCCAATCGTGACTGAGTTGGTGGTATATCGTGAAGAAGGGGAAAGAAAGGGTGGTGGTGAGGCGCTTATGCGACGATGGCGGCACCGATGGCGAGGACAAGGCCACCGAAGGAGACCATGTTGCCGGCGGCGGCACCAGTGGACTCGGGGATGCCACCGCTCTCGGTAGCGCTGCCAGCGACGCCGGAAGAGGTCTCCTCAGAGGCGGGGGTGGAGGCAGTGGCGGACATGGAGCCGGTACCGGTGACCATGGTGGTGTTGGAGCCCATGGGGACGGACATGGAGCCACCAGGGACGACGGGAGTGGCGGTGGGGACAACGACGACCGAGGTGACGGAAGCGGTCTCAGTGACGGCGACTATGGTGTTGTTAGTATCGTGATTGACTGAGTAGAACCGCAGAGAAACTTACCAGTGGAGGTCATGTCGCCAGAGGGGACCATGGAGCCGGAGGGCATGGGGACAGCGGGGATCTCAGAGACCATGGAGCCGGAGGGCATGGGGACGGCGGGGATCATGCTGGTGGCAGGAGGAGCCTGGATCTGACCGTCGGAGATCTGGGAGATGGGCTGGACCTCGTACTGAGGAACAGCGGCGACGGCACCAGCCATGATGGCAACGGAGGCGATGGAGAAACGCATGTTGATGATGTGGGTTGGTAGTAGTTACTTGAAGATAGCGACTGTGTAGTGATCGACTCGTAGATTGGAGAGTTGAAGCGGGTGGAATCTGTTTGTGCGTTGGAGTGAGTGGATGAAGAAGAGAAAGGGAGGCAGCAAACGGGCTATCTATTTATTCGCCTGGAGCCGCAGGGCAACACACACGCAAGACTTGCGGCTGTTGTGTCGCAATGGGGTCGGGCGGACCCACAGTACCCAAAGGTGCCCTGTGCGGCCGTGGACGTGGTAGGCAGAGTAATTGGAGAGGCTTTGCGCCCGTGTGTTTCGACAAGAGTAGAACAACCCAGCCCCGGCGCACAGACACGAGGCGAGTCCGCGATTGGCAGATGGACAAGCATCGTTCCAAGAATTTTATCCAAGTTGGCCCACTCGAACCGTTGGGCGAGGCTAGTCCCCTGCGAGAGAGCTTGTCATGCTGGTGAAAGCGGCCGAATTGCTTCGTTTTGATTGCCTGGGAGCTTCCATGTCGCTGACTACCGCCAACTTCGACGTGTAACCAGCTTTTTCCCCTCTCCCAGACTGCCAGCCACACCAGCCATCGCCAACGCGCAAGCAGGCGAAAGAGTTTGACTTCAGAAGAGGCCCGTTTCGCAGTGCCACGCAACATCTCTCCACTGCTACTCGCTTGTGCGCACCTTATCGCGACGCCAGCAAACGCCTCCCGCCAGTGGCCGTGCGACTAGCAACCATAGTGCCAGGGGCAGGTCCGTCACCATTCGATCGCCTCAAGCCCGTCCATAACGCATGCAGATCGTTGCCCGGTACAGCTGGCGGCCCTATGCATCCCTCACAGTTATTGTTGGCAGCAGTTTGCCTGCGCACCGCTGTCTGATCGTGTTTCGTCTGCTGGCCTGCGATGCTGCTTCGTTTTTACTATCCTTAGCAACAGGTGCCTGGGATTGCTCATAGCCATGCTCGGCAGCTGCATCGGTTTTGTTGAATCCCGTGATCGTGGGTGCGGTGACGCGTGTCCCTTGCCCTTGTTTTCGCTCTGGTCGCTAACGCGCAATCAATCAATCGATCAATGCTGCCAGCACTTCGGTCCTCTCCTTCCCTCTCCTGATGATCCATCCCCGTCCCTTGCAGCTTGCTTCTAAGTAAGGAACATTTGCCACCAACACTAAACCATCTGTTCCATGGCCCGAGGAAACCCCCCAAGAATCTCGATTGAAACCCCATGCAAACACAATATATTGAAACAAACAACGTGCAATCTGTACCTACATGTCGACGCATTCACCGGCAAATGCGAGCAAAAGGCTAAAGGGAATGAAGCGCACGGCCAGAAACACCCCAGTCCCCCCATCTCCGGACTTTTCACCAGCATGCAAGGACCACGCTCGTAATCTCGTTTCGCAACGACGATTGCTTGCCGCTGCCGTAATACGTGATAAGGATTCAAGGAGAAGGAGATCATGACGTCGTCATATGCTCTCCTTCCCATCTCGTGTTTGACGTATTCTCCATCTCGTCGCAACAACATGGTGTGGATGGGTGCGCCGGCGCAACTACGGAAAGACGGCCATGGAAGCACACTGAAGGAGAGTGCCTGCAAATCTTGCGCCTGCAGATTGTTCGGCGAAAAAGCCGCGAAAGCTTTCGGGAAGATTCCTTTCACCCTGTCCACACATCAGGTCCGACGCTACGACTTGCATTTGACAAGCTGCACTTGCGCAGGTCCCAATGTCGTAGACATCTGCACAAGACACGACTGACACCAGACACCCAGCCTTGTTGCTGCGGTTCCCAAGCTGCCAACTGTACAGTACACCGGTGTAGCGCCGGCGACCCGAAGTTCAGGCAGCTGTCACCGCCAAACCGCCGCGCGCATCGTGGAGAAAAAGCGGGTGGGTGATAGTTGCCCGGGCTACCACCCAGCCTGCCCTTTTCCAATTACCACGTCCTGCCACCATGGCTGACCGCTGAAACCAAGCGTGTACCGAAACCTGTGAAGGTTTGCGGTAAGGTTTCTTCAGGTGCGCCGCCAACTGCAGGTGTCCGTCCGCCTATCTGCTGTGTCATCCCGAGGTGTCGCTCGTGAAACCAGAGGCCGTTGTTTGGGTTGCGCCCGGGGCTAGGCGCCGGTGGCTGTCTTGTTGGCTGGGTCGAACAGCCGAACAGAGGTTTTCTGTCCAAGCGACTGCTGTGCGTGCACAACTTTATGTATGCATGCTCAACATCGGTCACGACTGCACGTCGTGTATCAGAGAAGCTTAGCCGGGCGCGTTTATATTACTTCTGATCGAGTTCAACAATGCACCGAGATTCTGTCAATGATTGCTTTTGCCGCGCCGCTCTCCTCATCAAACTCAACAACTCAGGCCGGGAACGGAAACGGTCTGGATGGGTCCAAGAACATACTTGTCATAACGATCTTCATTATATGTATCATGGTACAACCTCTGCGTCGAGCGCAAGACGATAGAAACGCCTTTGTAATGCTAAAAAGAACGATAACGCTAATAATCAACATTTTATCCATCGGATCTACAACGAAACTTCAAATTCGTAGCTCCACTAGAGCTGCTTCTCCCGCGTAATTTCATCCGCCGAGTCACTTTCCGACACCGTCTTGGGTGCCATCATGGGCTCAGGGCCGTGCGATGAGCCAGGTGTGGTACGCTTGAAGTAGTTGTGCACGTCGGCGTGGTCGTCCTCGTCCGCCTCAACACCTTCCCAACCATTCTTCTCAGAGAACTTGTGCTGTTGGCGTTCGACCCAATCTGTGCGCATCTCAGCGATCTTCTGCTCGTAGTCGAGCTTGGCATCGTAGTCCTTGTGCTGGCCGCGGAAACGCTCCCACCAGGACATGTGCTTCCAGTGGACGGCAATACCGTGGTAGTCGTGCTCCTTGCCGGCGCGAATGTAAGCCCAGCGACGCTCTTGCTCCTTGAGATCCAGACCAGTGGTGTCTGGGAGGAAAAGCAGAGTAAGGAGAGCACCGACGAGACCGAACCAGGGGACAAAGTAGAACTTGGTCTGGGTGTCGATGTAGTTGTACAGGACGGCAGCGAGCAGGGCACCCGCCTTACCGCAAGCAGCGCTGAATCCGTGGGCAGTGGCGCGGACGGGTGTGGGGAAGACCTCGGCAGCGACGAGGAAAGTGACACTGTTGGGTCCGAACTGGTTGAAGAAGGAGGACAAGAAGTACATGGCCTGGAAACCGTGAATGTTCTCGGGTTTGGTGAAGTATTCAAAGGCGAAACCGGGAATCATGAAGAGGACGAAGTCAGCCAGGAAACCAACGATCATCATCCATTTGCGGCCGTACAACTTGTTGTCGATGAGCAGGGAAGCGAGGTAGTAGCCACATAGCGATACACCGACGTTGATCAAGTTGTATAACCAGCCGGTCATGACGGACTTGTTGCCAGGCGTAATGATGTCGATGAACTGGTTCTGGAAGAGCTTGTTACCGTAGAAGAAAACATCGTTGGCGAACCAAGCACCCGCAGTGGCTAGGACACGGGGCCCGAAATACGTGAAGGTGAGCTTCAAGGACTGGACGTCGTAGCCGGTGACGTTGGACTTCTTCTTAGACAGCGCGAGCTGCTTTGAGGCAGACTTCATCTTGTAGTAACGGAAGTAGACGAGCCAGAGTGTGCCGACAGCGGGGATAGCGAAGGACACGCGGTAGGTCCACTGAGCCAAGGTTTTCGAGTACGGGGGCGATGATCCACCGTGGAAGATGAGGAGCAAGATGATCAAAATGACCTGGTTGAAGAATTGTCCCCAACCTTGCATCAGGAAAGCACTAGTGACTTTCCTACCACGGTGAAGACGGTCGTCCTTGGTGGACACCTTGCCAGAGCCAACGGCGTTCTCCATACCGGCAGTTGCAGTCATCGGGTATTCGCCTCCGACACCGATACCGTAGAAGAAGAGAGCCCAGACATAGCAGATGACCCATCCGTTCTGGGTAACACCCCAAGCCGCGGTGAGCATGAGAAGACCGACAAACATGATGACGGCGTCCTGGATAAGACCAAAGCGACGACCGAGCCAGTCACCAATAATGCCAACAAGGATCTGACCGACAATGATACCACAGATCTCTAGGTAGTCCACAGCCTGGAGCCAGGTCTTGTCGCAGATCTCGTGATCATTCCAGCATTCTGGGAAAGCAGCCTGGAAGAGAGGCCTGACGTTACCAATAGAGAAGAGCACGTATCTATATTATTGTCAGTAATGATCCAAGCTACAGTATCGTAGAACTTACCCCTCGAGACCAAGACCAGCACCGGGGATCACACATGTGCGGAAGTAGTGGCCCATAGGCGCAAGCGGGTCCTTCTTGAACATATCCCAGAAATAGCTCGCTTCGGCTTTCGCTTCAGCTTTGTCGACTTGGCCGATGAACTTGACCCGTTGACCCAGGGGCAGATCTGCCCAGTAGGTGCCGTTGGCATTGTAGAGGTCGTCCGGGTGCAACAGCGCATGGAATACGCTCGATTCATTTTCGCTCATGTCATTCCGGATGTCAATGTCTTGAGTTGCTTGGTGCTCGCCAGTCATGTTGGGTCCATGGGGTGCAGCGATGCCATAATCCCGGAGGGAAGGTGGCGTAGGATCGCGAAGTTCCGGCATTGCAGCAAGTTCACGAGAATCGAGGCGATCTCGTTGTTGTATGCTGATGGTGGGGATGGCTGGTGAAAGCGTTGCCCAGAAGCGCGGGTCCTAGTGAAGCTTATATGCGCTTTGGTAGTAATGCAAGAATGCTGAGTGTCCCACAGGGATACCGATCACCCGGTGGTGTCTGTAGCGCGAGTAGTCCCACGTACAATGCAGAACAGTACCACGTTCGATGGGGTGGCCTCTGAGTGGTGGATGGGATCTGCGATTCAGCACGCTGCCAGATCCTAGTACTAGCCGGACGGTCCGATGACGAAACCGACTCCGGGGAGTGTGTATGCGCTGATTGATGATGAATACGCGCCTTCACGTGGTGGCAGTGCGCTTTT